CAGATCACCAATATCTTCTAAGTTTAGTGACTAGTATGAGCTTGAGTACCCTATTTCTTCTACATTTCTCAGACAATCTTTGTAGCTGAAACAAAATGAACATATCTATTTAATCTCCTGAAGGAGCTGGGTTGGAATGCGCTAGCTGAACTGAGATGTTTGTGCAGGCATTGAAGAAGGAAGGAGTTGCCCGGCAGATCATTTACGACTAATGATGCTACTGTCCCCAACGTGGTGGGGCTGGGAACTTAAGCCTCAGAAGTTAACTGCTTAGATTTTTGCTAGGCCTGTTTTACCGGGCTATGTAGCCTGGCTTCATACCACATAGGGTAACAGGAATTTTGGCCAACATCTCTAGCCAAAGCTGGGAGAGACTGAAGATCACTTGAGAGTCAGGGTTTTTCAGGCTGGGGCTTGAAAATATGGCAACTAGACTATGTTTATTCCAAACTTTTCATTCATTAAAAAAAACAACCAAAAATCTAGAATGCCTAAACAATATCCCTTGTGAAAAAGAGGGTGTTTGTGTCCTAAAATGGGCAGTAGGTTGAGTATATAAAATTGTATACAAGGGAGTATGAAGAAAGTAGGCTAAAATTGTTTGTATGAGTGAAGACAGAATAAATTTTGGGGTGAAAATATCAGTCAAATTCCTCCCATATACTATTTGAGATGTGGTGTGAGGTTCTTCAGTAGGTCTAAATTTCCATTTGTGTGATTCTCCTGTCTAGTTATTAGTAAAAAAAAAAAATTAATACACAAAAAGAAATGGAAACTTATGGCCACATGTGAGTTTCTTGTTCTGAACCATATATATTAGAAAAGTATTCTGTTAATAGTATCTGTGCTCTGTGAGGACTAAAATATCTATCATTATTAGTCAATACAGCTAAAAAAATTGATAAATAAATATGCCTTTGGTGTGTTCACCAATGACAAACCAATTCTTCTACAAATTGCTTTTTTATCCTGAGCAGTTTACTGGTAACTCTGGCTGAACTCTAGCTAGAGTTATGTTTATCTTGTTATTTTAAAACTTAAACGATTGGATAGCAGTGGGAAGTTTGGCATTTTGGTATGGTATAGGATGTCAATTGAATTTTGAGTTAATTTACATTGGCTTCTATCTATATGTGGAGTTTTAAAAAAGAACCAAAAACTGCATTAAGCCAAATAAGAATAAAAGTTGTGACTCAAAAGCTTTGAGATTAGTTGAAATTGTTACATTAGGAGAGTAAGGACTATTTTCACATTAAAGAGAAAAAAAAAAAAAAAAGAGAAGTGTTAGGCCATAGTCGGTCATTAATCATCAAAATGAGTTTCCAGTATGAAATAATTAGCCAAATCTAGAACAAGGACAAAGTTCAAAATGAGATATATGTCTTAATTTACAATGGATCACAGTGTGAGGTCTCTGCAGCCCCAGCTCTAAGTTGTGCATTCGGTCCTGATGTAGAATGGTGCATGGTGGTCTGACAGATCATATTCTTCTGCTCTGACTGCCATGCTCATGGCTAGCCATTAGTGACCATTCCATTTTGCAAACAAAATTTTTGAGGATTTCTGGGTTGGGTGTTTTTTGTTGTTGTTGTTTGGGATTTGATGGGGTTGTTTTACTGTTCCAAAAACTTGTGATTAAAATATTCACTTCAGCTGTTGGAAGTCTGGATTTACATCTATGCTCTGTTTGATTTGGAACAAGAATTTGAACCAAATCAACTGTAACGTGGGTATTTTTGTTCTAAATTCTGACCTTCTCATCTCTTACTCTACCCTGTTGAAGCTGTTCTTTGTATGCAGAAGTAGCCACAGTTCTATAGAGAGAGCAGTGTGGTGTCTGATGGCTAAGAAATCCCTTTCTTACTTGGAAACATTTAAATGGAAACTCCATCTCAGGCTTAAGGAAAATTTTCTGAGGACCAATACCTTCCCAATTAATAGGGTTGGCACTGTATAACGAAAATTCCCAGCAAGTGATATTTCAGGGTCTGCTGTTAAATTGTTGGCTATGAATGTCACAAAGTTTCTGATTTTACTACCTGTTTTTCTGTAAACTGTATAACTGAACTCCAATAGTGCCTCCTTCTGAAGGGAAATAATAATTCTCCAAGGGGAGCTCACTTCGGTGGGAACAAAGTGGTAGGGTCTGGCTCCTAGCTTCCCCATGGCTCAATTTACCAGTCTGTCATACCGCCACATAAGAGCTGTGAATCTGTTTCTAAAATGCTGACATCTTAAAAAGAAAAGCCATACACAGAAGATCTGAAGCAATATCTTTGCATGAAGTACTACTCCTGTGAAGCCACCAAAGCCAAGGTTTCATCCTTACACGTAACTACATTCTCCACTGTTATTAAAATAACATATCTGTTCCTTGCTAAGAGACTTCTGTAGAAGAAGTTAGTTGCTATTAGTTTGTATTCCTTAAAAACACTTAAAAGAATGCCTTTTGCCATTGTCTCTACAGGCCTCCCTTTTATCCACCAGTTGCTGGGCTCTGCGTTTCCCCATTCAGAGTTGACACAGTTGAGCTACCTTTATGGCACCCTGGGGTTTCAGGAGCGCAGTTTGGAGCAGCTCAGGAAGTAAAAACCTCCCTGCAGAGCTAGCAGTGTGCAGCAGCAAAGCTATACAGGCTTATCTGTCCCTCCTCTCTTTCTTTCACTCAGCTTTTCTTCCAGTGAAACAAGTATCACTACCTGGTGCTACCTTGAGTATACTCAGAGCTCCTACAAGACTCAAAAATCCTTGTATGGGTGGTTCTGGCCATTTTGCACTCCCTTCTGGCGTTAATGGATGGTGATGAGAGCTTGAGGGGGGAGACAGAAATGTTCCCCTGATATATTCCTTCTAGATGCCTTCTATATGTTTCACAGTTTTCTCTACTGCTGTTCTATGTGTGTATATATATATATATATATATGCCTCTTTCCCCTCTTAGTCTTATGTTTTCTTTCTCATCTTCTTACACTGATACTCACTGGCCAGGGTGTGGAAGCCTTAACGAGAAATATTGAAAGCAGCTGATGAAATTACAGAGTTTTGTACCACTTTATGTCTCTGTATCAAACCCATTACAGTTGTAAAAATAATTTCAATCTTAGTAAGTTCCCTGTTTAGGAGTTTGCTGAATTTTAGTCTGGGCTGTGACCTTAACAGATGCCACCTCTAGAAACATGAGGGCTGAGAACTCAGTCTCATTTGAGGGGAAATCCTCAGTCCCAGCTCACTTGTTTTAGATTTAGAGCAAAGTTTACCTCCACTGTGCCTTCTCTGAATGGGTACATTTGCCCCTTCATTGCATCTTACCAAATTTCATGTTGTCTATTCTATTCAAAAGTGACTCTTTATTCAGAAGAAAATAGCTCCTTTAAGTATGTAGTACTTTTGCTGCAATACTGACACTAAACATTGCTGTAATATACTGAGCCAAGCAAATTATTTTTAAAGCAAAATTATTAAACTATGATCTTGCTTAATCCTTCTATAAACATTTGGGGAAGAAAAATATGCTTTAATCTTGTTTCAGTTCTACATTTTTCTGGTGAATATTCTGTGAATAATTCACTTTCCAGATGCAAAGTATTACTGAGGTATTATGATAAGACTAAGGAAAATACAACCAAAGACGTATTCCATTTAAACGGCTGTGTGTTTGTTTTTCAAAATAGAGGCTATGGTGCCACCACTCATAAAATGTAAAGGAGTCGTCTTGATTTCAGTCCACTTGCCCATAATGGTTTGAACTACAAGCCTTGTTCCATCCGAGACAGTATCAGGGTCATATCAATGCTACTGCATTTCATGTCCAAAGAAAAAGTAGTTCCAGTTGTGCCACCTTTTGACAACAACCTCTGCAGCTAGTGCAGATGAAATCTTGCTCAGAAGATCTGGAGTTTGTTTGTCCTAGCCTCACAGACATCTGTTCCTTCTCCCAGGTCCCCGATGCTGCCTGCCTTCATGCAGCATTTAACCAAGTCAATAAGACCTTTCTCTAAATGTGGGATACAGAAAATGCAATTGGACTCCATACCAGAAATGTCTCCTTCTGAGCTGTGGTTCAAAGCTATGTGTTGGACGTTGTTTAGTTATAATTTTGTTAGCAAAAGTTGCCCACTTTTTCTCCAGGACTTGAATAAGTTGAGTTGTCTAATTTTGCTATTTAGAAAATCATATGGAAAATTTTCCATTAAGTCCTACAAGTGTTGTCTTGCCTGGCCAGTCTTGTCTCTGAATTGTTGAAATATTCCTTATTATATGTGTTATTACATGGAAGTAAACAATGTTTTTTCTTTCTTAAATCTGATCTAAGTGGTTATCTGATGGTGTTTTGACTTGACTACCATATAAAACTTGGAGAAAACAGATGCATGAACCAAAACTGCCTAGCCAGCAGATAAATTAGATTAAAACTATGTCTAAGTGAAATCTTCATAAACATCTCCTGTTACATTATTCCTTATCCAAAGATTTGTGGCAGAATGCTGGCCCCAAGGAAGTCAAAGGAAAAGACTCCAATTGCTGTTAAGATGGGCCAGGATTTTATTCCAAATCTATGAAATAAACCATAATTAACCTTCCGTCATGGCTGCCAGGTTCCATGTCACCACTTGCTTCCACTTTCTGAATTTAATTTTAGGGAAAATCTGTACAAAACTGAAGAGGCATTTAAGGAATAACCAAATGGCTTGTTTCCTCTATCAGTTTCTCTTATATGCCCAGTAATTTAGAAAATATGCCCTGCTGTCTTTCATAACTTCCTCTTGTAACAAATGTTAAAGACCTACATTAACTTCGTGGCAAATTCTCCTTGTTATTGCTTGCTCTTCTTTTATGCTCTGATTTGAAGAAGCCCCACAGCTCACCACACTAATTAATGGTCATTTTGTTTTTAAAACTTTCCTTTATTCTCTGAATTAAATTAGCTCCTTTTCTCCCCCAAATAAATAAATGATTGTTTTAATTATTTTTGTGTAAATATTTTTTTTAGTTCAGGTCAGGATCTCTTGCTGGATGTTCAGTATGCGTTTGGACTGCCATTCTACACGAAGTATGAAGAACAATTTACCCTGGAAGAAAAGAGCCTGTCCTTGAAAATTATGCAGTATATCTCCAATTTTGTAAACTCTGGGTAAGTGGGTGACATTTAAGAATTGCTATTATTGGGGAGAGGGTGAGGAGTAGAGGGAATGTAGTCCAGATACTGCCCTCACTCAAGTATCCTCCATTTCCTCTAGCAATTTGTAATCCTACAGAGGGGGCTGTGGTCAACACTAATGGAAAGTCATAGCCAAGTTTTCAAGCAGATACCAAAGATGTGTAGTATGACACTTAGCTGGAAGTAATAGGAGTTTTATCTCTGTGGAGCAGCTGCAAATTCTACTTAAATATATGGGGGGCTACAAAGGCCTTGGTGTTGTTTCCAGAGCTCAGTTCTATCACCTCAGTTCTGAAGGGTCTTGGCTGAGTCCCCTTATTCCCAGAAGAAAGGGAAAAGGACATGAAGACACAGTGGATCCTTTACCAACTACCCTGCGAATAACCCTCAGCTTTACTGTGCTGTGGCCATACTTGAGAATGAGGACTATCTCTGGAAAGCTAGTGTGGGATCTGTGACTTTAAATGCTTTTTAGAGTACCTTGGGTTGCTTTCGGACCGAGGTCTGTTGAAGGTGTTCATGAGCCTGTGTCTATACAGGTTCTGTGTACCTGTTCCCTAATAAGTGAACCAGATTAGCAAGTTACTGTCAGGTGAGACACCGTGAATGATTCACCAGTCTGGACTGAATTTGAACTCTACTGGCCAGAGGGACTGGATTCACATTTCCTTGAATCAGCTGATTTCCTTCTCCATTTTACTATTCATGTCATTGTTTTCTAATGAGCTTTTCTCCCGTTTCCTTAGAAATCCAAACTACCCTCATAGTTTCTCAAGAAGAATGTCAGGGGTGATGCCCCTCTGGCCTATGTATCTGCCAAATGATGACGGTGATAACTACAAGGAGTTCACTGTTTCCTTGCCAACTCTTAAAGGATTGAAAAAAGCAGACTGTTCCTTTTGGTCTGATTATATCAGGAGACTGAAAACATCCACAGGTGAGAAAAATGTTTTCTTTCATTAAATAAAACCTAAATTCTCTGCTTAATGTTTCTCTCTGTCTTTAGTCCTATTACTACTATAGTTATGTCAGTGCAGAAAAATGCTTATCATAAATGAAACATCTTGCACTGTCCAGGGTATGTGGTTGAGACTGTCCTGATGCAATACCAAGCAAATCTATTTTAGAGCAGACAGTATGTAATAAAGTTTCATTGTCCTGGAGTTAGAGCTAGAGAAATCTTCCTGCAGTGATTATAGGAGATGTGTTGAAGCTATATCTTCTCATAGTTTGCCCTGTATTTGCAGTGATAATACAGATTTTGACTAAACTGAAGGCGGCCTGTTTTGTCTACTGGAAGCACCTAACAAGACAATGTTAAGATTCATATGACATAGGTGGAACACAGTAACTTCTGTGCACTGTAAGGTTGCAGCTGAGGCTTTAGATGCATTTCAGTGTGGATCCTGCATGCTTTGACTTCACAATAGATAGTTTCTTTGGTTTTTTTTATAGCTGTGCCAGTTATGTCCCTTGATTTTTCCTTTGTCTCCATAAATTTCCATCCAGTTGTAAGTTTCCTTCAATTCTTTCTTACTGCTTAGAACAGGAAGACCAACTGCTGATATTTCAGTCTGCTGTTCTGCCCTGAACACTCAATTTAGTCTAGTACATAAACTCTCCTTCATGTCTGTGTATGTTGTAAATAACATACATTTATGAGCAAGTTGAGATCTTTTTAATTATTCTTGGAGGCATGCAAGCTTAAAAGTGTTTTTTATGGCCTAAGGACTCACCTTCACGGTGAGCACAGTCTAGGCCCTTTCTGCTTAGGAGGGCAGTTGCATTTCTGGGAAAAAAATGTACTCTCCAAGGCACAGAGCTACCTAGGTGCCTAGGTGCCTATGCCTGACAGAACACTTCAAATGGACTGAGGCTGATGTGTGAGTAACACAAAACTATAATGTCTCAGAATCATCAAGCTGCTGGTTCTGGTTCAAACACAAAGCATCACTGCTTTTGTTCAAGAGAAAGCCTGAATCATTACTCATGGTCTTTCTTCAAAAGTGGACTCAAGATTTTGCTGCAGGCTTTTTCATCAGTTTCTTGGTATCCCGCAGTGTCTTTCAAGTTCAGAGGGAATATTTTGATCTCTGACAGCTTTCTGCTGGTCATGATATTCCTAATTTGCCAAGCTTGATTCTGATATTTAAACAGTCCTGGGTATAACTTCTAGTTCTTTTGGGATGTAATCTTGCAGGATGATGGCTGTGTAAAGCCAGACTGAGTTGAAGTCACAGCTCTGGCAGGACGACTGTTGACTGAGCACCACGGACAGAGGCTACTCCCAGCAGTTACAGAAAATCCTGGAAAAAAGTGGGAAAATATCTGTCGGGGCAGATTGTTTTTGAGATGGAGAAGGTTTAAAACTATCCAAACTGGCATAAGAACACAACAACATTCATGTATGGGTCAGTCCAATGGTCTGCCTAGCTCAATATCCTGGCCTCGTCAGCGGCCAAAACCAAATACTTGAATGTTAAACATAAAAATTAAGAGAGGAAGAGAAAAACACACTGAAATTGTTCACAAAGATGAGTCAAAGTTTTGAAAACAAGCCACACAGTGTGAGATTTATGGAGTATAGATTGTCAAGGAGAAGGTTTAAAAAGTACATGTCAACATGTTATTCTGCAAGAAAAAGTGAGTACACCCTGCCTGCTCCTCAAGCCAGTATTTGCTTGGCCTCACCACCATGGTAATGCAGCTACACAGTTCACTTCTACTAAATTCCATCTCATAGCAACATTGGCTTGTCACCTGACTTAGATAGTCGTCTTTAGTCTTATCTCACCCTGGAATACTGAAACTTCTCATATGACTTCTACTTAAATAGGCATCACATTAAACTCATTTCTACTCCAGGCCTCAGCATGGGTTGGTAGCTTACAGTGACTTCTGCTGTGGGTGTCTTGATAACAATCTGAGTTCACATCTTGGTGAAAAAAATTCATAATGGTCACCAGTTCAGGTTGAAGGACTGTAGGAACTTGAGAGGCTGATGGCTGAACACCCTCCATTTCTATTTGAGTGGACGTTGTACCAAGATTCATACCCAAGCAGTATCAGTCCGTCAGAAGAATTTCATCACTTGCATTGCTCCCAAGAATCACATTCTCCAGGAGTGGACAAGTGAGACTGTAGAATATATTCACTCAAGAGAACATAAATCTCTTTTTTTTTTATTTTTTTAAGTCGCTAAGCATCATGTTGCTGCTTGGTTACTGTGCCTCCTTGTGTCAGAGGTAGCTTGCTGTACCTCTCTTCAGAGCTGAAGCACTGCACCACTGTTGTTACCTGATTGCTCCACACTCTGTTCCTGGAGTGCTGCTGGGCTGTTGCATGGGATCCTGGCATGATGTTAGATGCTAGATTTGACAGAGCAATGCTGCAAACCATTTATGTATGATGTACCTTGCACTCCATCCTGAGAGGGAACTATTTGTCAGTCAGCTACTGTGAGATCTGAACTAACACATACTTAGTCGAAAAAAGAGCAGTTTCCTGCCTTTCAGTAATTATAAATCTTCATTATAGTGTTTTTGAATTGTATGATACACTGGTCATTCTGACCGCTGAGTTTTAGTTGTTGTGGGTTGCAGTTTGTGGCCTCCTGCCAAGTAGATGGAGTTTACAAGGGTGGCAGCAAGAGGCTTTGTTAATGAAACCATCCAGTTTTCACGTCCAAGCACAAAGCTGTAGAGGGTCTATTCTGATGCAATCTCAATGAACTTTAATGAATCCTGTTTTGCTCAATTCATCTCTTCCTTCAAGTCAATATCTTTCCAGCTTCATATATCATCTGTGTACTATAAGCAAAGAAAAGATCAACATATTTCAGTAAAATGGAAAAGAATTGGACAAACCTGTGATCACAAAATCTAACTGCAATGGGCTTTTCAAAATTTCTTATTGATCCTTTGTTTACTGCCATGTGAAATGCCTTGACTTAGAAATGTTAAATTAGGGATAACTAAAGGCTCAACACTGAACATCTTAGACCCAGGTCTCAGTCCAACAGAAAGCTGAGTTACTCCTAAACTCATAAATTGCAGTGTCTAGAATAAAGCCTCTCATATTTAGAATCTCTTGTACAGCTGAAGTTACGTGTCTGTTAGGTTATTCACTGCTGAATATAGAAGCTGTAGTATATACATCTAGCTAAACTGTTACCTGTAAGTTTTTTTCATTTAGTAAAAATATTGTCCAAGTTGAAGTAAGTGTTTCATTTTGTGATCAGACTGCAATATTTAATGACAGAATGTATCATTTGTCCCTGGCATATAAGTGAAATGTATGTTGTCATAATTGAAGATAATTTAACAACAGTCCTTTCATAAATGCAGTGATCCTTCATGGTATTTACTGGCAGTGCCTTTCTAAATTACGGAGCAAACTTTCAATCTGATTCATTGCAGATCTATAAATCTTTGAAGCTTTGTTTGAAACCAGTTGGTAAAGTTGGCATTGTGGGGGCCGATTTACCTGGGGAATTATGAAAGTGATGGTGCTTGAAAAGGTTTGGATTTAGTAAATGGAGTTCCTATAGCTGCCTTTCAAAGACGTGCTTTATATTCTGAATCGTGATGGTTTCCATGGGAAACATCAAAATGAGAAACAAGAAGAGTGGCTATTGTGGAAAAAAGCTGTGGATGGCTTTTTCCAGGGAATGTGTTAACAACTTGATATTCAGTTAAAAACAGGAGCTTCAGAATGTTTATGCATATTCAGACAGTATGTCTGAATGCTAAAATTCCCTTTGCATAGTGTGGTGGACTGCAATGCATAACAGTGAGTCTCTTTATTAGGGGCCTCTCACTGCATCTCAGACAGGTAGACTTGGATCCAGTCTACATCTCTTACTCATCTAACTGGCATCTAAACAGAACCAGTCCTCCAAAAATAAGTGCCTCTGTAAGCAATGTTGCAACTGGGAAGAAGGAGATACCTTTAGTGTCTTCAAAGTGAAACCTTGTCTGCCTAACTCATGTGCCTAAATTTATACATTTAGGCATACTTCACACATCCAGGTTAGCCAGACTGGACTCCACCTGTAGAATATTCAATAGCTAGCAAAGCTGAAGCCTGCTCCATTAGCTCTGAGACAGTGTGTGTCCAAATAAAGCAACAGTGTTCATAGTTCAGACTTGAATAGAGACCGAATCAGGAATGTTGTGGTTAGCATTCATCTTTTACCCCTTCTATTCACACCTTCTTGTTGGAAATCTCCACTGGAAGATAGATTCCTTTAGTATGAGGGACATCTGTGCAATGAGAGAAATCTGGGTAAGATGTATTAAATAAACGCCATCAGTACAATTTATGGCATGGGTTGGTGTTGTTGAGGCACCTGCAATTCTGAAACAAGGTGGAGGACTAAAATCACAGAAGGTAAAGAATAAAAAAGAAGAGGTCTTTCAAAGATGGGTTCTTGAGGATTTATGTATACCAGACAGACAAAAAAATAATGCTCCCCACACTTCCTGCTTGGTAGGTAAGTATCAGAAGATAATACAAATAAAACCCCAAGTCTTGCACAGGTGGAGTGCAAACTATTATGCATTCCAGTGGCAGTTATTTAAAGCACACCGGAAGCATGATAATTAATTACCATTAGATGATCTGTCATTACCCTAAAGCATTTTGCAAATGGACTGCAAACTGAGAAAAATAGCTTCCTGAATATTTATACCTGCATGAAAAGGCTCTTGAGTGTCATTGATAAATTGTATACCTTCTAGCTTGCTGCATTGAAGATATGACATTTATTTTAATCTCAATTATTTTGTCTTTTTAGGAAGTGCAAGTAATGAAGAACCGTCTGCAGAAAACAGCCCTAATGCAGCTCCCAGTGAAGGACTTACCACCCAGAATGGCCAGCCGCTGGGAGACAAGGTGGCTTACAGCAGATAGAAACTCACAGTGCTATTGGATGGGTTTGTCACACAATTGTACATCCATACAACTGTGTCACACCAGATGAACAAGCTTCTTCCTTTAGTTAACTTGCTGAACAAGTAAAGTAGACCTTTCAAGAAAGTAGTTTTTCAAGAAAATCATTGAATATGGAATGAAGTTAGCCCTAGAACTATTATTTTAGGCCAAAAGAAACTGTAATTTGAAAAATGAAATGTCAATAAAAACTGCAAAACCCAAACAAAAGTACTTGGACTTTATTTTTTGCAGGCACCCAAATGCCCACACATTGTAGTACCAGCAGCCAGAGATGAATGTACACTGAAACTCCGAGAAGTCCCTCAGCTGACGAGGCTTAAATTTGCCACATGTCATATCTGTCCTGTTCTTTTTTGTTACTGATCCTATCACAACCAGCTGATAGGAGTGGGAGCCTAGTTTGGCATTCTGGAGAAAATCAAAAACCTTCAAAATGGGGAAGGCTTGGATCAAGGAAGAAGAATGTAAGAAGGCAATCAAGAGTGCACATTCAGTGTGTTCCCATGAAGTGAGGCACATGCACATGCTATATTCAGCTGATGATCACCTGTGAAAATATGTAAAAGACTATATGGGTAAAGCACAACTCACAACAGAGATAATACAAAGTATATGTTAATTAAAGGTTAGACTACGCAGTCCCTGGAACATTCACCTTTTGTAAGGAGAAGGTGAGATACTGAATAGAAGTGTAAGGAAAAGTCTGTCATAGGGTATCTCTAGTGGCTCTAAAGGTAGTTTGGGTTAGGCTATTAATTCGTTGCTGGGATCACTCGGCAACAGTTCATCCTCGACTGGTGGTATATCACACACATGTCCGTGATACTTGAGAAGAA